TTTTCACTGGAGGTCACCAAGCAGCCACGCTTGGGAAGGAGGGGATGGAGGGAAACCCAAGGTGTCTGGAAAAGCATACTTGGACTTTGCCAGCATCCGAAAGTAAAGAAGAAGAAAGGGGGAAGATCAACAGTGTTTGCAAGAATGAAAATCTGTTAGGGACTGCACTGGACGGGAGGGAAACATGTACTCACGGAGGGCAGCTGAGGCTTGGCACTGTGCAGCTGGGCTGGAGAACGCCTGAGAGAAACCATGAGAAGCGACTGGTGTACATTGTCTCCTAAAGGGAACAATTACTCCTCCTTTCTACTTGAAAGAGCTTAGTATACGTGAAGAAATGGTTGGTAAACTCACCTGAATTAACTCTTAAGGGAGGAGATAATAGTAGGTAATGATCTAATCTCTGCAGCAGACCAGAATGCCACGTCCCAAGGCCAGAGACACTCCTCCGTTCTTTTGACCAAGAAGAAATAGTTTTGCCTCAATAGGCCTCAACAAAACCATAAATCCCCACCTTTTCATACACTATTTTCAATTTCAAGGAGTCACAGATGATGTTAACAGAACTGATGTTAACTTTTCTAGGGGAAACAAGGAAATGGGAGGTGGTTTCAAAGTCAACCAGGACCTCAGTGGCCTCCAAGCCTGGCAACACAGCCTCATTTTGGGCCAATAGCAAAGCAGGAGTTCTCCACACTGCACAGCTAATCTCAGGCGCAGTTTTTCTTTTCTGTTCTGTTTGTTTGTTTAATCACTGCGTTGTTTTGTGCTCAAACTGTAAATCCCAAACTGATGTTGGATATCTTAGGAATGCTTTTAATTTAATTTTTATTTATGTGTTTGTGGTGGGAGGGACGGTATGTGGATGTTAGCACCAGTGCCTGAGGACGTCCAGGAGCTGATCCCCCTGAAGCTGGTTTTGAGGAGCCTTCCATGGGTGCTGGGAATTGACCTCCTGTCTTCTGTACTCTTAAGTGTTGAGTTATCTCTCTGCCTCCCCTTCAGTTATTCTCCGGAACTTGTAAATGTTTTATTTCAGGAAAAGAAGTGCATGATTGGCTTCCACAAGGGTTAGATTAGAAGTGAAATATTTTAAACAGGAGAAATTGTAGTTCTCATTGAGAAACAAGTTTGGGTAAACTTCATCCCTGATAGTGTGTGTGTTGCTGTCCTGTGGAATCCAACAGCTACTATGGCTGGATAAACATACTACTTCCCCCCAACACACACAGTTACCTTTCCTTGTCTTGGTCTTGTTAATAAGAGATTTTGAAAATGGACTCAGGAGGGAGATCAAGGATGACGTCATAGGAGTTAGAGGAAAGGGCAGTTCAGGGCAGCTGGAGAGCAATGCACCTATCAGGAGAGAGGTGGAAACGTTCTGCTTTTTGGAGGGAGAATAACACTCAGGCTCCGCACTGGACACCTGCATGTCCCCCATGGGGGAGAGGAAGAACTCAAGACAGTGAGTGTGTCCCATCTGTCAGGGCAAGCCTGTAACCATCCTGGAAGTAATGAAGATATTCTAAGGAGAAGCAAGGGCCACTGCCTTTGGCTAAAGATGGTTGTTGAAACAATGGTCCCCAAGAAATTGGAATTTCCTCAGGAATCTCTTTCTGGGAGCAGGAAGAGGCTGAAGCCTGGCACCACCCCGAGGAGGACAAAGCCTGCACGCAGTTCTCCCTTATCTGGATCCCAGCCAGTGATGGGCAGGACTACACTTGGCCAAGACGGCTTAGTTTGCTTACCTTTCCCCCTTCCATTCACATCTAATCTTCATGTCAGGACCCCCAGGATGGAACCTGCGGGGCGGGTCACTGTCTGTTTTTTTGTTTTGTTTTGTTTTGTTTTTTATCTTTCCCATGTGGACACAATGAGTAAATTTTCTTTCTCTGCTTTCACTCTTGTTTCTTTCATTGATTATTGGCCAAGCCTGGGCTGTGAGGACTGCCAGGACCCAGGCTCTGACCCTAATGATTCTATAACAAGGAGATTTAAGATTTCCTCTAGGTCCAGGGTATAAGAGATTGAAAGAGTGGGGAAGGGAGGGGCTGGAGAGATGGCTTAGTGGTTGAGAGCACTGGTTGCTTGGTGACAAACAGCCATCCAGAACTCCAAGGGACCTAACACTCTCTTCTGAACTCTCAGGGCACCAGACATGTACCTGGTCCACATACATAATACATGCTTATATACATACATACATGCAAAACGTTCAAACACATAAATAAAAATTAAACTAAAAATTTTTTTTAAGAAATGTGAAGGGATAAAAAAAAGTTTACTGAGTTAGAACTCAATAAGGAAGTCTAACTCAGAAAACAAAGGGCCAAAAATTAGGCAAGAGAAACACCTGTTATCTACATCAAACAAGCATTTCCAATGTTGAGCAAGCTGTTTGTAAGGAGGGCTACTGACCTGACCAGTAGGTATGGAAGCAGACACACTGACTGACTGCTTTGAAGAACATCATTACATCTTAAAAACCACAGTTATTCCATTGTTTCTCATGTCCTCGGCTATATCGTAATTTTCACTTTTTGTCTGTATGCTGGTCTTCAGATCATAAACTGAAAATTCTTGTTACAGGCAATCTCAGCCCTGTCTAGGCCAGGAAAGTGCCTGCTCCCTACATCAGCAGAATCGTATCAAGCACCGACCCAGCTCTTTGTAACGGGGCTAGAGGCCAGCAAGCACTTCACAGGATGTCACCATGTTCATAATAAGGACACAGACCAGCAACCACACTCTTCTGTCAGAGGATTTCAACGTGATGAATGTCATATGTTCCAAAGGGAGTGAGGTGTGACTGTGCCAGACGTCCAAGGGTCCAGGTTTCCAACAGGGCTTCTCACAGGACTGAGAGCATTTGGGTTAATATTAATATTGTATGCAAGTATATTTGTCTTCAGCATCACTCCAACTTAAAAAGAGACTGAAAGATGGATTATATGCACAATATTGCTTCCATGCTTTTATTTACTGCTTTCAGAGACTCCTGTTGTACTTGGTAAAAGTTTTCTATAATGGTCCAAGCAATGACAAATTTATTTTATTTTTTAAATTTTGAGGCAGGTCTCAATGGAGGTGATTTAAAGTCCTCCCAAAAGTTTTACTGTTAAAGGAAGTATGGGACCAGGAGGAGGGTGGGAGATGTATATGGAGAGGCTATCCTGGGAATCACCGACCACATTTCTTTATTTAGCATAAATATATAGATCTGCCAGAACATGTGAGCAGACCAAGAGGTTAAGCTATGAAAAAAGAACGGCAGGGCTGTACCAGGTCCCTTAGTGCTACCATGTGGGGTCAAGAATGTGGCCCACATGTTAAAGGCTTGGTCCTTAGTTTGGTTCTGTCAAGTGACCGAGGAAACATTAAGAAGTTTGACTGAAGAATGCACTTAGATTATCAGGTCATGTCCTGATAATGACATGAGAAATGAGAAAAAAAATTGTGTGTGAGAGAGAGACAGATGGACAGAGACAGAGAGAGATAGAGTGGCTGAGGCTCAAATCCAGGGTTTTAACACACCAATGTCGCAACTACTGTGTTATTCCCTCAGCCTCCTGTGTAGCTGAGACTACATATGTCTGTTACAGCACTTGGCTGGCATTATGTAAACTGCGGCAGAAGGGAAATGAGTCAGGTGTCTCTTCACAGAGTTAAGGGGTATTTGTTTTTGTTTTTGGTTTTGGTTTAATTTTATTATACTGCAAACACGAGAACAGGTGGGTACTTTCAAGGAGGTCAGAGGACAGCGTTTAGGATGCGTTGTTGTTGTGTATGCGTCCACAGCGGTCTGCTTCCACGGTGAAGATAAAATTCAAGTCCTTAGGTTTTGGAGCTACTTTTACCACTGAGTTATCTAAACACCACTCTATTTTGTTTTGTTTTTTATTTTCTAGTTTGAGACAGGTCTCACTCACATCGCTCAGACTGGCCTCAAACTTGCATGTAGCCACAGGATTACTTTGAACTTCTGATTGCTCTACCTCCACCTTTCCAAGTATTGAGATTACAGACACGCACTGCACCCAGGTTTATGTGGCAATGGCAAGACAGCTCATGGTCCTGGAGAAGGTAGGCAGGCACCTATCAGTTGACCGACAGGTTCTTCTCCTTTTCAATTAAATTGTGTATGTGTGTGTGTGTGTGCGTGTATGTGTGTGCGTGCATATGTGTGTGTATGTGTGTGAATATGTGCATGTGTGTGTTTGTGTGTGTGTACATACAGAGGTGCACAGTGCACATAGAGAGGATCAGAGGACAAGTTAAAGCAGTCAGTCCTTTCCTCCCACCGTGTGGGTCCAGACAATTGAATTCAGGTTATTAGGCTTAGATAGTAAGAGCTGTTGAGCCATCTCGCTGGTCCGAGGTAAGTGTTTTAATTAGGGAAAAGAGAAAGTTGAAATGAAGGGATGGTAACTAAGACTTTTCCCTGAAGTTGAAGCATCTACCTGAAAGTGTGGTCATTTGCTTTTCATCCGCACAGTTGTTCATGCTTCAGTTGTGCCTATGCAATGAAGTCTCCACGGAAACACAAGATAGCATGGTCCAGAGCTTCAGGACAGCTGGACACAAAGAGAACTCATCTGTGTGGTGAATGAGTTGCCCACCCCAGCTCCACAGGGACGGAAGTGCCCATGCCTGAGATCCTTTCAGATGTCACTTGATGTGTATCTCTTCATCCGGATATGTTCCTTTCCTTGACTCAGCTTAGCCGCTGTAACAAATTAATGGAGCCTAGGTATGGAGCCGTGGGAACATTTAATCATTTGGTCAAAAGTTTCGAAGATATGGACTCCCAACTGAATCTGAAGTAGAATCTGTCTAGAAGACTGAGCCCTCCACCTGTTGAATTTCAGTGATGGTATCTACAGCATCGGAGGTAAAATTAGTCAGAATAAATTTAGCTTGTGTCTGTTAAAGCATTCATGGCTATCTTCCTGCTAGAAAGAGCCCATGTAGCTTTAAGGTTACAGAAAGCTATGTTGATTATAGGAGAAGCCGTCCCAGTGGCAGAGCAGGCTAGGACAGAGAGCAGGAAACATCTCCAGCCACCTCGAGCTCCTTCCTGCCTTCATTCTAAGTTGAGCAGCTCCACGTCAAAGATGAGGGTGGCATTAGGAGGGATGACACCAGGGTGGCCAGTAGCTCCATAGGCCACATCGGGGGTGCAGGTCAGCTTCGCCCTCTGCCCCAAGCTCATCTAGCAGGGATGGGAGCACATGGGGAGAGGAGAAAGAGCACCCAGCTTGGTTTCAAAGAAAAAAGTAAGATAACTTTTTTGGCATTTTTCCCCAAACCATCCTTAGGGTAACTCCAGATCTGAGATTAACTTTATACGTGGCACCAAAGTTAGGCTAAGAGCTTAAATATGCAGACTCCACCTCCAAATAGACCAGACTGTGGGGCAGACAACAGCCACAAAGTAGTCTCAGGTTCATTCCTACAAGCGTTCCTGTTTATCCAGCTAGTGCATGACCCGAACACTATGTCTGCTCATAATTGTTCCCGGTCCTCTTCTGAAGTAGCCAAAGAGGAAGGTACAAACAGCCCTGAACACTTGTAACAGGACCAGTTAAGACCCAGCAATTAAAGGCCACAGCAAGGTGGTGAAGGCAAAGCTACAGGAGTGGAGCATCCTACACTTCCCCAACAAACCGAGGCAGAGCTGGAACCAGAGCTCCCCGGCACTGTCCACCCACTGGAGCTGAGACATTTAGATTCCAAACAGTTCCAGAAATTTGAGTTGACTGGTTAGTAGTGTACCGATGTGAATGCTTTAGCGGAATCGCTGTAGTGTGCCTACGCAGGTTAACGCTTGAAGAAGCTGGGTGAAAATTATGTAAGAACCCTACTAGTTCTATAATATTTTTTATGTCTGAAATATCTTCAAAAAACGTTTAAGAGCAAAACAAAAGCGCTTCTTGGCTTTCCTGCTGTCTTAGCTCACAGCTTGTAGCCTTTCCAGCCCGCTCCAGCAAGCCTAGGAGAGATGCTGGGAATGAGACACAGATGTGCCAGCCACAGAAGAGGCGAAGGGCAGAACTAGAGGTGAGCACTAGGTGGTGCTGCTGCGCCCTGGCCGCAGAGTAGTGGCAGTGCGCAGTCTGTGCCAGGGTGACGTGGAGGGCCCAAATCCACCACTCCTTAAAACCCCTGCAGTGGGCATCCTCAGCCTACCTGGGCAGCACCTTCTTCAAAACCTTTGATGACTTCCTGTTTGCCAATTCTGAACTTGAAAGGTTTGTTTCTATCCCTGGATGAATCAAATTTCTTGCCATTTTGGAGCATCCCTAGCAAAGCGAGAAGAGGGTAGAAAAGTGAACTAACAAACAGTTGCACTCAGCATGTCTAAATGAAATTCCTCTTCCAAAGGAACCCTCCTCATCGCCGACCTCCCTCGGCAGCAGGACACCGGTGCCCATCTCTCTGCCTCACCCCCACATGCAGCCTGTTACCAAGTCCTGTATCTCTTTGGAATCCACCTACCTGTTCAATGTCTGCTGCTGCCCCCATTCTGCGGTCTCGAGCCACCACCACGGCTCACCTATAGACGGGAACAGCCTCCATAACGGTCTTTCTCCTCCTCACCAACCTTCCACTCGCTACACTGACAGATCCACCCCCACTCCCCACCCCCGCCTTAAACGCAGTTCTGATCATATTTACTTCCCTGCTTAGAACACAAGAGCTTCTAGAGCAGAATTCAAAAGCCTGAGGCTGGGGGCTGGAGAGAGATGGCTCAGTGGTTAAGAGCACTGACTGTTCTTCCAGAGGACCTGGGTCCAATTCCCAGCACCCACATGGCAGCTCACAACTGTCTAAAGATCTAGTTCCAGGGGATTTAACAGCTTCACACCCATGCACATAAAATAAAGTTAAATAAACCATTTTTTTAAAAAGGCCTGAGGCTAATGATGCCTGCCTTCAAATTCTCTCTCTGCCCCTCACTCCTCCTCCCCCTACCTATTCAGAGCACGCCATTCCCGAGTTCCTCTACACCGTCTCAACTTTTCATGCTACGTCCTCAGGCATTTCATGAACTGTCCTCTAGTTCCCGGTTCAGTCCTTTCCTGACGTCCTCGGTGCTTCCTGAGAATGGAAAGCCAAGGAGCATGCCATCACATCACCCCCTGCTCCAGCGAAAGTGCAGGGTGACTTGGGCACTCTGGTAGCCTCTGGTTCATGTACAAACAGTTACTTTACTCTGGGACACCCGGGTGATCATTCTCTGCTTTCTCAGGGCAGGCGCCCAGGCATCCCTGACATTCATGTTTTGTCGCTGTCCATCAGTCCACTAGTGCCACTGCTCGTGGTACTCTCGATCAAAGACCAGAGTTTCTTCTACATGCACAGGGGTTTGCCTGCATGGATGCCTGGGCAGCATTTAAGAGCCTGGTGCCCTTGGAGGCCAGAAAATGGCATCAGGTACCCTGGAACTAGAGTTACGGATGGATGTGAGCCACCATGAAAGTGCTGAGAATTGAACCCAGGTCCTCTGGAAGAGTAGGCACTGCTCTTTTCTTTTCTATTTTTGAGACAGAGTTTCTCTGTGTAACAGCAGTCCTGGAACTTGCTTTGTAGGCCAGGCTGGCCTTGAACTCAGAGATCCACCTGCCACTGCCTCCCGAGTGCTGGGATTAAGGGTGTGTACCACCATAGCCCGGCAGCCAGTGCTGTTAATCACTGAGCCAGCTCTCCAGTCCAACTTGATTTTCTGAATACCATACTATTCCAAGATTTCTGTAAATCATTTAGGCCCATAGGAAGACCTGGCCTGTTAAGTCCAGATACTGAGTTGCTACTGTTTCGAGACTCTGTTTTGTTCCAACAGGGTCTTATTCTGTAGCCCAGGCTGGCCTGGAGCTCAGGACGTAGGCCTGGCTGGTCTCCAACATGCAGGAGTTTCCAAGTGATGAATCTCAGGTGCAAGTCACCTCACCCAGTTGAGACCAGGGTTTTACTTCAGTCGGGCATTGTCTCTGTGTGATATCGGGGAAATGGGTCCCATAGTTTCCATATTTAACACAGGAGGCTTTGCCAGCTTACAAGTGTCTGAGCAGCCATAATTGTACTTCCGAATTCCTACAACTCGAATGTGTACTAGAGAGCCCTATTTCCCTACCTTCTGGGTAGACTAGTTTGGGCTCCTGCCCTGAGTTCTAAATGTGGCAAAGGAGAAACCCTTCTGTCTACCCAGAGATGCACACAGATGGGTGCTACAGAGATCAAACACAAATACATGCAGATACACAGTTGCTAAGATATTCAGACTCACAGAGATATTTATGCATGCTCACACACATTTGCACACAGACACTCAGGAGAGAAGCCCTGATGGCCAAGCAGATGCTAAGAAAATATTTAGATCAACAGACCTACATATATTCATACAGACATGCACTTGGACAAACACATGCGTGAATATGTGCACATGCGCGGTCCATTTATAGACAAGTTTTCCCGTTTCCCCATTGCCTTCAGGTTTCATAAGCTGAACCTACTTGGAACCACGTAACAGCTATCTGTTGCCGTGAGCTCAGCCAAACCCACAGAATTCAGACAGAGGCCCACAGAAATATGTTTACTTCTTTTACAAAGATGCCATTGTAATACATCAAATAAAGGACGACTTTTTGGATTAACATTGCTGGATCAAAGTCAGGCGGTGGTGGTGCACGCCTTTAATCCCAGCACTCAGGAGACAGAGAGAGGCAAGTCTTTGTGAGTTCGCAAAAAAAAAACCAAAAACAACAACAACAAAAAAACCATTGCTGGATCAAATCTATATCCACATAGGGGGGAAAAATTGAACTTCAGCCTCTACCACATCCACATACAAAAACCAATTCCAGATGAACCAAAGACATAAATACGAAAGATAAAACAAGCCAGGCAATGGTGGCGCATGCCTTTAATCCCAGCACTTGAGAGGCAGAGGCAGGTGGATCTCTGTGAGTTCAAAGTCAGCCTGGTCTACAAGAGCTAGTTCCCAGGACAAGCTCCAAAGCTACAGAGAAACCCTGTCTCGAAAAAAAACAAAATAAATAGATAAATAAAATAAAAAAGAAAGAAAAGAAGGAAGGAAGGGAGGAAGGAAGGAAGGAAGAAGGAAAGAAAGAAAGAAAGAATAAAATCTCAGGCTTGGGATCTGTATGGTGGCAGGGTACTTCACTGTAGGTACAAAGATCTAGGTTCGATTCTTAGCGCCACAAAACACTACTACTCATAGTTTCTACAAATCAGTCAGGCAATGATGGTGCACGCTTGTAATTCCTCCACTCAGGTGAAGTCAGGAGGGGCAGGAGCTCAAGGCCGGCTTTGACTAAAGAACAAATTCAAATCCCAAGTTACATGGGATCCTGTCTCAAATTTTTAAAAAAAAATTAAAAAAAACAAGAAAAAAAAAACACCACCACCACCATTTCTACTAGGTAATAAATAAATGAATAAATTAGCAGCTTCATAATATAGTGAAACATTTCTTTTTTTTTTTTTAAATTTATTTATTTATTATGTATACAATATTCTTTCTGTGTGTCTGTCTGCAGGCCAGAAGAGGGCACCAGACCTCATTACAGATGGTTGTGAGCCACCATGTGGTTGCTGGGAATTGAACTCAGGACCTTTGGAAGAGCAGGCAATGCTGTTAACCTCTGAGCCATCTCTCCAGCCCAGTGAAACATTTCTTTAGGTGAACACAGAAAAATGTCAATATGTCACCATGAAAGAGAAGGCTGATAAGTATGACATCATGAAAATTAAGAACTTCTGCTCAAAAAAAATACTATTGAGAGATTAATGGCAGAACTGGAGAGCTGACTCAGTGATTAAGAGCACTAGCTGCTCTTGTAGAGGTCATGGGTTCAATTCCCAGCACTCACACAGCCTCTCATATCAGGCTTGTAACTTCAGTTTTCAAAGGACTCAATTAACGTCTTCTGGCCTCTGCAGGCATTAGACACACAAACTCACTAGGTAGCCAAGGTTCGCCTTGAACTTTTGATCCTTTTGACCTCATCTCCCAAGTGTGGATACTACAAATGCGGGCCACTAGGGCCAACTTATATTTTGTTGTCTTCTAAAGCTTACCAGAAGTTTCATACATATGGTCTCCTACTGTGTTTGATAAGACAGTGTCTCCCAAAGCAGAGCCATTTGTCGCTGATGTAAGTGTTTAATGCACACTGCCTACTCTATATGTATACTTTGCAAAAAGATGTTTGGTTTCATTAACTTGATCAACAATGGTCTGTCCACAACACGTGGGACAGATAAATCAATTACCCTGGCCGGCGGCTCCAGAGTCCCCAGGGTAATTAGGCCACATCACCAGGAGATAAAACAGTCCGGGTGTGCAGACATCAGTGACTGGCGAGGCAACTGTTGAAAAACAGCCACGTCATCTGCAAGAACCAGTCTGGTGCTTCACACTGGCATAGAGAACTGCTAAAAATGGCCCCATCTGAATATGTCCCAGGAATTAAACTGGCCTTGCTGCATACTAAATGACTGTCACCCACAGAGTTTGCCACATTAGAAAGCAGGTCACAAGGCAGAGTCCTCACACCTCTTGGAGCAAACACCTGCCAGTAATCCTGCCAGCAGTCCTAAAGAACTCATCTAGAATGTTCCTGGGGGAGGGGGAGGAGGAGCACTTGTTGCTTTTCCAAAGCATCTGAGTTCAGTTCCCAGCATCCACATGGTGGATCACCAAAATCCACCAGAATCAGGGGGTCTGACACCTTCCTACCTACAGGGGTACCAGGCACATGTGTGGCATACACACATATGTGCAGCTGAAGCACCCATACAAATAAAAGAAAATAAAATAAGTAAAGAAAGCCCCTTGGTCCATGTGGGCCTTCAAACACACAGCATCTAAAGATGGCAAAGATATGACACCCTCCTCTGGATACTCCCAGCACCTGGAGACAGCGTTACCACCTCCACATCCCTCTCACTACAGTGAATGGGGGGAGGTGTAGACGAAGGAAAAAAGACAGGGTAAAAGGGGGATTTTGAGGGTGCTTAGATCTTTCAGAATAAGTCTGAAACATTAGACAGGAGCAGGAAGGCCAGGATACCCCTGCCCAACATCAAGGAATGAAAGAGAAGGCATTTGACTCTCCCAGAGGCTGGCACCACAGATGGCCTTGGTGGGTAAGGGAAGAGTGAAACTGGTCACAGGAAACTGCCCTGGGCTTTGAGGATAAGCCAGAGACAAGACTCCCTGGAAAGAAGCTTACAGGATAGCCCTGCCTTGGGAGAGGCAGCCTGAGCAGGGCTGAAGGGAGTGAGACGTACCTGTGTAGTGCACCACGCATATCTGACCCTTCTTGGGGAATGTCCTTCCTGTCGGGAGATATGAAAGCAGGTGAAGGATTAGGGAATTAGGAAAACTCACTTGACACATCCAAGTTTGATTACGACCCTGACTAGCTCACTTTCCCCTCACCACCACAGAACTACGTGTCTCTGTGCCTTGGACGAACAAGAAGAAATAATGTCTCCTTTCTGATTTGCATTTGAACTTTGTTATCGGTCCAATTTACTAATCAAAAAAAAAAAAGCCCATCACTTTTTATTGCGTCTTTTACTTCCATCTATTCTACAAGCATTCATGAATAGCCTACCATGTGTCAGACCTTAAGTAGATTCCAGAGACAGAGAGCAATATGTGAACCCACGAAGAGACACAGAAACATAAATCCCAAATTGCTATAGACTCATGATGGCCATCAAGGATGAATAAATGCAGTCATTCACAAGAAATCGATAATGTTCAGACCAAAAGAAATCGATAATGTTCAGACCGGTGCCTCACGGCAGAGTTACAGCAGAGAACAATAAAGACAGGTTCCCTGGTCTTCTGGGGTTTATATGCTTTCTTTTGTGTATGTGGAGTGAGTATGTGAGGTGGGGTGTTGTATGTGTGTGTGTGTGCGGTACGTGCATTTGTGTACATAGGGGCACATGCCCATGAATTTGCATGCAAGAGGCCAGAGAAGGATGCCTCCCTCAATCTGCCTCCAATTTATTTCCTTGAGAAAGCGTCAGTCCTTGCACCAGAAGCTATGCCATGGAGCTCCCAGGATCTGCCTGTCTCTTCTCCCAGCGCTGGAGTTTAAGACATTTGTAGTCCTACCCAGTTTTTTTTAGATGAGTGATGGAGATTCAAACTCAAGTCCTCCTGTTTGCACAGCTAGGGCTGTGACCCACTGAGCTATCTCCCCAGTTTACATTCTAAAGGAGGGAGACAAACAATACTCACCTTAATAATTGTAGATAGTGATAAGCCCTCTAAAGAAAATTAACAAGCTGATGAATTTCAGAGAGACATGGTGAGCCAGCAACTTCAGAAAGGGCGTGCCAGGAAGGCACTTTGGAGAAGGGGATGTTTGAGCCGGTTCTTTAGGAAGGAACCAATTCAAAGACCAGGAGCAGGAAGGGATTGCTGTATCTTCAGAAGAAAGGGAACAGAGTGAGAGAGAGGAGAGGAAGGAGATGCACCACACAGCTTGCAGAGGTGGGTTTAATACTAAGTGCGACAGGAAACCACTGAAGAGCTTAAAAGCATGAGAATGACCTAATCTGAATTAAAATTTTGTAAAACCACTCGGGCTGCTGCGTGTGGGATGGGTGGTTAGACATCTGTTGCAATACCCTAGGCAAGAAATCAACGATGGTGTGAATTAAGGCAGTGGCAGCAGAGAAGAGAGTGAACTAGATTGGAGACATGTACTTGGGAAGCAGGGCTGGCAAGGGATGTAAACGGTAGGGAGAAGGGACCCACCACCCACCTCACCACCGGGTGAGGGAAAAGGAGAAGACAAGAACGATGCTTGAATTTGGGGTTTGGGTAACTGGAAGGTGGCAGAGCTGTTTCCAGAGATTGGAAAACTAGAAAGGGACAGATCTGCGCGGGTGGCAATCTCGAGCTGCCTTTTAGACATGCAAGTTCTTACTGTAAGAAAGTAGATGCAAAGCTGACACTGAATAAACAAACTGGCTGGAATATAAAGCCACGAGGCTGGACTGTGACAGTGGACTGGAGGAGCTACCAAAGGGAGCCAGAGAAAGCATCGTGGGAAACAGTTAATTGGATGGTAAAGGACGAATAGGAGTCTGTTTGGAGAAGTAAAGGAGTCTGGGAAATAGAATGACTTGAAGACATGTTCAAATGCCTGGAACCCAGAGCTTGGGATGTAGCTCAATGGAGAGCAGTTGCCCAGCATGCAATGAGGCCCTTGGGTTCCACCCAAAGCACAGGAAGCCTTAGGGTCCCAGAGTCCAGTCACAGGGGAGCCCACTGATTTTATCCTATTACCCTGGGGTCCAACACACAGTAGATTTTCCATAAATATTTGCTAAGTGAGGTGTGTGTTTCACAAGTTGCAGAAGGTTTGGTGAGGCTGGTTGTGGGTACAGTGATTGTAGAAAAAAAGGATCTGTCAGTGTGGATCACTATCGCCCTATCTATCACTAAAGGGGCATTTTGCTTGCAGAAGCAGGGGGAAGCATCTCTTGATTATTTCCTGCCTGAGGGAGGGGCCTGTTAAACTCTGTATTTCAAAAGAAGACAGGTAAGAACGGGAGGGGAGTGAGGATTGGAAGTCAAGTGTTCGTCGGAGAGATGAGAATGAAGACACGGAGACACCTCAGAGGCAGTGTGGCTGACAAGACCTGGGAAGGGCTTCTGAGAATCTTCGCATGGACAGAGAAACCTGTATGCCAAAGAGTGATCTGGGTAGTAGTTGGCATTTCCAGGAACCCCTCGTTTTATAACCAATAAGCCTTTCAATTTCCTGGGGGAGGAGCATGCCAATAACCTCTAACAGTAAGTTTGCTTATTAAATAAACACTGTAGATCTGGAGTGCGGCTTTGGGTCTGGATTAAATTTTGCCTAGAAATAGTTACTCCTTCAATATCTACACCCAGTTTTCTAAGTAGTTGAAAAAACTCGCTGCTGGTTCTCTTGACGGCAGACGGGGAACCCAGAAAAAGACCCGTGGGTGAACAAAGTTAGGGAACATGAGTTCTGTTTCGGACTGGCTGACTGAGGCACCCTGGACTGTTCAGACAGGTCAAGCAGCAGGTCCAAGGGATGGGTTTTGAGGTTTGACTCTAGAGGACATGGTAACGGGCAGATTCACCCTCTGAGTGGAACCCAGAGGGTGAAATAAGAAGCAAAAGCAGCCAAAGGAGTGGTAAGCTCCCAAATCTCTCTCTCTCTCTCTCAATTCAGCTTGCCGCTGCCCAGACCCGGGGGCCGCTAGACAAGAGGGGTGAAGGGTGGGGCGTTAGGTGAAGGTCCCCGTGCAGCAGGGACTCCTTAAGCGAGTCCATCCTTGGTGTCGGACAGGGAAAACGGAGCTGAAATTCGAACCTGGGAAGTCAGCAGCAGCTGATATCCAGAGGTTGCAGTTAAGACGGCATAAACCTCAGCCTCAGACAGTGACTGGAGCGGGCGCAAAAGAGGATGGTAGAGAATTGTCCTCTAGAACCCCAAGAATCAGGGTGGGGGTCTCCTCCTGTTGCGAGCAGAGCATCTTCCCCCCACCCGTTGCAGGTCCCCGGAGCCACCTCGGAATCAGACCTCTGCCCGCGGACTCCGCCCCGGGACCCCTCCTCCCCACCCCCCACCCCCCCGCCAGGTTCCGCCGCCCGGTACCGTCTCCCGGGGAGATGGTCTCGATCTCCACGCCCATCACGGTCCCACAGGCCCCGCCTCCAAGGGGTCTTCGCGGCTGCCCCGACCCCGGCTCCGCTCAGGCCCGACCCCGCAGGCGCTCCGGCTCCCCTTCTTGCCGCCACTGCAGAGCCGGAGGAGGTGCGGCTGGAGTCAGGACCTGCGCGGGGAGGGGCCGCCGGGAAGGGGGCGGCGGGGTGGAGCCGCGCGACAAGGTGGGGTCGGCCGGGGCGGGGCCCGGGGGAAGCGACCCTGACGTGGCTGCTCCAGAGCCTGGCCAGACTAACCACCATTAACCCTCTAGCCGTGGGAGGAGGGTGGTGAATGAGGCGTGCCGGCACTAGCGCATCCCCCCACATCTATCCATCTATCGGTTCAATGCATATTTATTTAGCACCTACTCGGTGCAAAGCTCCAGGGAGTACGCTCAGTCCTACAGACTCGGAGGAGAAAGCCGGTAATTAAACTAACACTTTAAATACATGTGCTCAGTGCCGTGGGGTTCGGAGTACAACGGAAGCACCCGAGACTGATACTTAACCCTGACTAGGTTTCCCGAATCTACTGCAGCAGAGCCGGGGAAGGCCAGAAATCAATTATTGATGATTTTTCCCCGACCACCTTAAGCCCATATTCATTATCCCTCAAAGCTTTACATCAGGTATTTATATTGGGGTCTCACTTTTCAGGGCAAAGGACTGCTCCCTGGGGATTCCAATTGAATTAAAGCAGGGTCGCTGTGCTGCGGGTCCTAGCTGAGAATTCAGCTACAGCCTGGAGTGGTAAGTGTTGCAGAAAGAATGAATGAATTCCTTTACCTTAATCCAAAACAGACAGGAATCTAGAAAGATATTTTGTCCTCCCCGTATCCTCTGCCTCCATGGTACTGGGAATTGAACCCAGGGAAACCAACGCCTCTTCACACGCTAAGCTAATAGAGGCTACATCCACAGGCCATAGGAAGATACATTGGGAGGAGGTAGCATTTGTTTGAAGACTGAGGACACTTTAAGAATGTCCCCATGGAGCTGGAGAGATGGCTCAGTGGTTAAGAGTACTGGCAGTTCATCCAGAGGACCCGGATTCAATTCCCAGCGAACTCCAGTTCCAGGGGATCAATCCAATACTCTCGTATAAGCAAAACTCCAAGACACATGAAATAAAATAAATGGATAATTTAAAGAGTTTTTTCTTTTTTAAGAAAAAAAAAAGAGTGAGAATGTCCCTCACCCTTTCTACATCGTTGCAAAAATCAACATGTTGATTCTAACAAGAGACGGTATGGGAGAAAGACCTAGAATTGGAACAGGAGGCATTTCCCTTCTGCACGCCACTCTTCCAGGTGGCGAGGTCGCACACAGCATCCACGAAAGAGGCCTGAGGTTGGCGCTCAGAAAAGATGGTCTACAAGACCGGTCAGGATCTGAAAACCCGGCGGGCGCGGCCTAGAGTCTGCACGGCTACCGAAGCTTGAGACCTCCAACCCTATTGGCTATGGCCTTGGGCAGGTACTTTTAGATTAGTAGAACAGATCTGCTACTTGGGCAGGCCTAGGAAGCGGCTTCACATTTTGGGAGCGATATTTTATGGGATTTTAAATGGGAAGTCCCTGACTCCACTCTCCCAAACTAAAACCGACTAACAATGTTGATTCCTTCTTGCCAACCTCTTGTAAGAGAATGGTTGAGACGAGTGTGGTAGAACTGGTTGAAACGCTGGAGACTGTGTGAAGATTCACCGGCGGTGGTTACACGGGAACTACAGCTCCCACAAACCATTGCGGTAAAAAGCTCGCTCTTACTGGCTAGCGGAAGGACCCGCTGCTGACGCGATGTACTCGATAGCCAATAGTCTAGAGGCATTGTCGACGGCCGAGGACCGAGGCTTCCGTTAGTTGCCCGGGAGTTCTGATTCCCCCGTCCTGTGACGTGAGCGGCCCCCGGGATTTTTATGTGTTGGGCGGGGAGGCAGAGAGTCCAAGGTATTTCTTGTCTTTTGCGGCCAGGCTTGGTGGGCGTATGGAGGTTGGGGCTGGGCGGGGAGGTCAGGGATGCAGGCGTGGGCAGAAAGTTGAGGAGTACGAGACGGATGGTGTGTGGTGTGAGGGACAGTAGTTTGAGGACCTGGCTGATGTGGGTTTTAACGTGTGAATGAATGTAATGATGCTTCTGGTAATATAGCCTAAAGAATATAACCTTATTTATTATAGAGTAAAGTCGCCTACGAGCTTTGAGGTGTCTCAGCTAACGAAATTAAGTTCTACCACAAATCACAGTAACTGAGTTTTGTGTTAATTGCAGGAGGCTCTGTAACCGGTTAATCTGTTAAGCTGTAGCCAAAACATTGCCTGTGTCTCGCTTCTCTCGTCCTTTGGGGGAAGCAGAAGGTTTCTTGTTGTTGTTACTGTGTTTTTTTGGTCTGGTTTAGTCTTTTTGAGACTGGGTGCGGTGCCGTTTGCAGCCTGGAACTCACTGTGTAGTCCAGACTGTTCTCGGCCTCGAGGCAGGGTGTGTGCTCCAGCGTTTGCGCACGCTGTGCACTTGCTTTGGACATAGTTGGAAGTCGTAACAACTTTTGTGAATTGGTTCTCTCCTGCCACTCTGTGGGAGCCAGGGTATCAGACTTGTACACAAACCCCTATTAACTGTTGGACCATCTTGCTGGCTTTCTGGTTTTTTGTTTTGTTTTCTTAATGACGATTTTTTCTTTAATGACAAGATTTTTAATTTGGCTTTACTAACCTTAGGTCAGTGACTCCCAAATCTTTCCCCGGGTCTGCCTAAGATACATCCATTGCTACCTTGCAACCATCTTACATGAAACATATTACATTAAAATATTAAATTTTGTCACAACTGGCTGTTTCCCGGTTGGTAGAGTGTTTGCCTAGCATCCACAAGATTCTGGGTTCCAACCTCAGCACCACATAAACCCTGGCCTGTGTAGTACTCTCAGCACTCAGGAAGTGCAGACAGGAGGGTAAATCAATCTGGGCTACATGAGACTGTATCAAAAAATAAGTACATTACATACTGCACACCTTCCTCATCTTTGAAGCATAGGGCCTTCTGCATCTCTGGTTAGTGGTTCAGCTGTTTCCCCAGCTAAGAACTTGCATGCTGTCCCTCAAGTATTCCCATTGTCATTGTCTTTGCTCCTGCTCATAGCCTTTGTTCTCTGCTGCAAACTTTGTTTCCTCTCTATTTTGTTTTTTTTTATTAATGGAATGCGGGGGGAGGGGTGGAGGACATGCATACCATGGCAGATGTGTCGGAGGAGATAGGACACCTTTCGTGTGTTGGAATTTTCCTGGCACTTCTTGGAAGGCAGGGATTGAACTCAGGTCCACACGCGTTTGAGGCAAACACCTTTATCTGCTGAGTCATCTTTTTTTTTAAAGATTTATTTATTTTTTATGTATACAGTATTCTCACTGCATGTATGCCTGGAGGCCAGAAGAGGGCACCAGATCTCACTACAATTGGTTGTGAGCCGCTATGTGGTTGTCAGGAATTGAACTCAGGACCATGGAAGAGCAGGCAGTGCTCTTAACCACTGAGCCATCTCTCCAGCTGCCCCCTCTGCTGAGCCATCTTGCTGACTCTTTGTTCACTTTACTATTGTGGCATTCAGACTCTTTTATCTCCCTTCCACTTTTGGGGGGACAAGGTCTCACTATGTCACTCTAGCTGGCCTAGAAATCACACTATAAACTATTATCCTAACCATTTGAAGTGTGCATTGGTATTAAACACACCCACAGTATTGTACAACCACCACTGCTATCCATCTCTGTTAATTCCTTTCATCTTTTAGGAAAAAATTTCCCCTCGAGATAGGGTTTCTTATTATATTTTTCTTTTTGCTTTTTGAGGGGCCCACCACCCAGCTCCCTAATAAATCACTTATCTTAGTTATAAATGCTTTAGCTTGTTTCTTGCCAGCTTCTCTTAGATTATCCCCACTACCTTTTGGCTCTGGGTTTTTATCTTTCTCTCTCTCTGCATACCTTCCTTACTTCTTTCTCCGTGGCTTGCTGTGTGTAGCTGGGCCCTAATGTCCTCCTCTTCTCAGAGTTCTCTTTCTATGTATACTCTCTGCCTGCCAGTCCCGCCTATCCTTGCTCCTGCCTCGCTATTGGCCGTTCATCTCTTTGTTAGGACCATCAGGTATTTTAGACAGGCACAGTAACACAGCTTCACAGAGTTGAACAAATGCAGCGTAAACAAAAGTCACACACCTGAAAATAATATTCCCCAACAATTTCTCTGTGTTGCCCTGGCTCTCCTGAAACTTGGTCTGTAGCTATAGATCAGGCTGGTCTTGAACCCCAGCCTCCTGGTGTTGGAATTAAAGGAATGTGCCACCACACTGGCAGAACTGAAACTTTATTTGGGGAGTGGGGTTTGAGACAGGGTTTCTTTGTGTAACCTTGGTGGTCCTGGAACTCGCTTTGTAAACCAGGCTGGCCTTGAACTCACAGACATCCTCCTGCCTCTACCTTCCAAGTGCTGGGATTAAAAGTGTGTGCCACCACCGCCTGGCAACAACTGAAACCCATTATCTAGTGTGCTTCTTTAGTAAATACCTGGATGTGAGGAGATGGGACTCACAGTGCGAAAGTTGATGCTTTCCATTATTGTAAAGAATTGCTGCAAAGAGCAGAGCCAACCGAGGATGTAGACTTGCCTTGGAAATTATAGAGAGCTGTGTGGGTGTGGTGAAGGGAAATCACACAGCGATTCCTGAGTACCATTCAGTAAAGAGGTAAAAGCCACTGTTAAAGAACTGAGGAAGTAAGTGCTAATAAAGCCAGAAGTGTGGATATCATTGATTTGACATGAATGGGAAACTGGGTAATAGGCTTTCCCTAACTTGTAATTTTTAATTAAACATTTCCTAACTTGAAAGTCCCAGAAATAACTGGATACGGTCCTCACACCTTTAACCCCAGCACTTGGAAGGTTGAGACAGGAGGATCACTAAGAGTTTGAGGCCACCTGGGTTACATAGTGAGCTCCTCGTCAGCATGGGCTAGAATGAGACTCAGTCTCAAAAGCAGTCAAGTAAAAGATAGGACTGGCAAGATGGCTCAGAGGGTAAGGGTGCTTGCTACCAAGCCTGAAGATCTGAGTTTGGTCCCCAGAGCCCACACAATACAAGGAAAGAATGAACTCACCAAGTTGTCCTATGACC